GTTAACATGGTTGCTGAAAGCACACATTTTATTCCAGGTTTTAGAATTTATAGGTGGGTGTGGGTATAGATATTGAGTGGAGGCAGCAGGTGGACAGTTCTGTGCCTGGAGAGTGGAGGACTGGAAGAGGGAATGGAGGCAGGAGAGGACTAGGGTGGGGAAGGCATCGGATGCTACTTCTGTGGGGCACAGTTGGAAAGGCAGACTTTGGTGAAAAATCAGCAAACAGTCGGATACCCAGATGTGTGAGTGTGGACCCTGGCAGGTGTCAGTGATAATGTGCAACATTCAGAGTCTGCTTCTCTCACTGACTGATGGGTCCTCTTCCTTCCTCTTACTCTCAGGGTGAGGGTTAGAGGTGAGGGTGGCTGGCAGTCGCATAATAACGACAGCTAATACATGCTGATTAAGTGCTGTGTGCCAAGCACTCTCCCAACTTCTGCACCATCTCCTTTCTACTGGGAACCTGGGGCTTACAGGTGGCCCACCCCCCTGCCCAATATCTCGCAGCTCAAACGGGATGGAGATGAGACTCATTCCCAGGAACTTGAGTCTAAAGGCAGATGGGAACCACTGAAGAGGAAAGGGAGAGGTCTGTTTGTAGGGGTGACCGGACTGAATGAACTCCCTCCCTCACCCTATCCCATCCCTCCTGCCCAATATCTCGCAGCTCAAACGGGATGGAGATGAGACTCATTCCCAGGAACTTGAGTCTAAAGGCAGATGGGAACCACTGAAGAGGAGAGGGAGAGGTCTGTTTGTAGGGGTGACCGGACTGAATGAACTCCCTCCCTCACCCTATCCCAAGAAGGTAAAACTATAGGCATTTTTAAGCCAAGAAGAGAAAGCGAAATTTGATCAGGCCAATGCATGTGCGACCAGACAGCTTGTCCCAGCCCAGAAGCCTGGATACATGGGAAGCTGTAAGTTTGCCTCACCCTTGAGAGGCAGAGAAGTAAACGCTGAGGGCCCACCCCCATCACCAGCCCGGGCTGGCAGGGCGTTCCTCTCCCTGACTCCTCTGAAAGCCCCAAAATACGTGTGTGCTGTCAGTGAGGACAAGCTCCTGTACCTCATGGTGGGCTGCGGCCCCCGAAGTGATGGGGGAGCTATCATTTCTGACGGGACTCTTCAGTCTTCAAACTCTGATAAAAGCATCCGAAAGACAGCATCAACTTGTCCCCCAACCGGCCACCTCTGTTACTTGAAACCTTCAGCCCCTGTAAATTGGAAATTAGAAAGATTGGCCGGGGCCTGGAAGGGAACGTGGGGAAACAGCGTCTGTCCCTAGTCCTCAGTCACTGGTGCAATGGCTGTTAATAAGAATCCGTCCGTTACACATTCTATTTGGTGGACCTGAGTAGCCGGTGACAGTTACCAGAAAGGAAAGTCACACTAAAAGAGGATAACCAAATTTAATTTCAGAATAGGAGATGTGACTGAAAACTGGTTAGAGTCAAAAAATATAGTCCAATTTAACTTATAATTTGCATGGGAGTTTGAATAACAGCCCAGAACACAACAATGTTGAAAACCACTATTATATTATTGTAATTATTATATTAAACAGCAGAACTTGAGCACTAGAATACGGAGATCAGCTTACGTTTTAGAACCATATTTTGGGGTTCACCAGATTACAAGAGCTGATCTCTAAAATACATGATTACACTTCATCTTGAGGTTACTAAATTTACTATCTCAAATAAGCTGGTTGAAAGGTCAAGTAAGCAAAATCAAATATTAGGTACTTAGAATCTGCATTTTTAGCAGAACTTGAGCACTAGAATACGGAGATCAGCTTACGTTTTAGAACCATATTTTGGGGCTCACCAGATTACAAGAGCTGATCTCTAAAATACATGATTACACTTCATCTTGAGGTTACTAAATTTACTATCTCATAAGCTGGTTGAAAGGTCAAGTAAGCAAAATCAAATATTAGGTACTTAGAATCTGCATTTTTTACTTATGTCATTTAATTTTCAAATTAGGTTTATTTGAGTTCCAAATTTCAAATATAACAAAAACAGTAATTGTCCACATTTGGGAATTCACAGTGATTTCCTCCCTACTGTTCTGTTAGAGAAAGTATGTATCAGAGTCAAGACTTCATTACAACATGTTAAGGCATTTCCAGAATGAGTAAAAGTGCATCTCCATCACTAAAGTGAACTGCCAGGAGGGTTTACATCTGGGCCCAGCTAAGATCACACAGGGCACCTGTTCCACAGGTTTGAATTGCAGGGGCTGAAAATGCTCAAGGCGGCTGCATGCCGGCTGCACTCTGCAAAGAGCTGTGGATGTGACCACACCGCCCGCCTGGGTCCTGCAGAAACTGTCCACAGTGACCGTCCGCTACCGCAGCAACACACACTGCTGTTCAATCTGTCATTCCCAGGGAGTTGCCAGTGAGTACAGTCAGAGCCAGTAATCACATCCTAATACCAGGAAATTAGCCATTATTCTAAAAAATGTTTACTTTTTCTCATTAACTTAATTTCTTGGTTTTACTAAGGGTTATAATATTTAATTGTGTTTTCAGAAGAACTTCAAAACATTTCAATATATTGTTTTTCTAATTATCCCCTCTTACTGTTTCTATACTTTGATCAAATAATTTTAACGGATATAGCAATAGGTAGTCCAACATCTAGAACTAAAACTAAACCTAAATTTTAAAACAGGAAAAGCTAATTCTAGTTTTAAAAACCCCACTTTATTACTTCCAGAACTTGGCGATAGCTTAAAATGTCTAAATTTCTTCTAACACTGGTCTGTTCCTATGAAAGGCTTTGGGAGTGGAAAAACATTTAGGAAATTGTTCATATGCTAATTACCTTTAAAGTCTTTATTTTTTTCCTCATTATTAAAATAATAACAGGCAGTGTCTATTGCACATTTAATAATCCACTTCATCTGAACTATTTCACTTAGTGCTCACGAGCACCTTCTGAGAGAAGTGCTAACAATACTTGCATTTTCCAGGTGAAGAAACCAAGGCTTAACCAAGCAGTCACACAACCAGCATGTGGCCCAGGGAGACCTGCCCAGCACTGAGACCCTGGAGCACATGTCCTCCTCATCACACAAGGGGTCTCAGTTTCCTTAGTCTCAAGACCCCTTAGGTTCTTAAATTATCAAAGATCCCAATGAAGTTCCATTTTTGTGGATTCTACCTATTGATGTTAACCTTATTAGAAATTTAAACCAGGACTTTAAAAAATATTTATTAATACATTTAAAAATAATAATAAATCCATTACATGTTAACAATAAACCCATCATGTTAACATTTTTTAATGAAAAATAACATTTCTAAAACCAACACATGAGGGATGAACAAGAGGCTTCTGGAAGGGCGATCTTCTCTTGCCTGCTCTGCTCGGTCCTGTGTGGACATGTCATGGGGCCTTGGCAACTCTACTGTGTGTTGGTGACAGCAGGAGTGTAAAAGGGAGTAACAGTGTCTCAGTGTTATGATGAAAACAGACCCTGGAAGGTATCCGGGATACCCAGGCATCCCTGGAACACACTGACAAGTGCTATGTTATCCGACCTGTGTCACAAGCAACCCTAAGCCCCCATGTGGTTAGCCATAATCTCAGCTAGTAAGCCCAGAAGCAAAACTTAATATTTGATTCCTTCTTTTAACAACCTGAAAAAAAGTGACACAAATAAGAACATGGGATCACACAGGAAGAAAAGCCAAACTCTATTAAAAATGAGATGCCTTAAATTTATATTACACTTTTTACTTGCAAAGCTCAGTGTTTTTAGATATATTTTCTGTACTCACGATATTCTCATACAGTAGGCAGAGGCAGTAACTACAAGTCTTTTATATAATGTGGATGGAATCTGTGTGCTACTAAGCATTTACCTAGAAATAGTGGGTTAGTATATGCTTAAAGGAAACTAACCTGGAGGGATGTCATCAAGATGGAATAGATGGTCCCCCAGTGTCACTCTCCCTGACAGTCAACCATAATTTACAAAGCAAAGAGTGCCATCCTGGGGCCTCTGGAGCTTGGGGGAATGGGAGGAGAGACCCGTGGAGTTTGTGAAGGTGGGAGAAGCCTCAGCGAAAGGAAGAAGAAATCGCCCCAACCACCTGGAGCCCAGCCGGCCCTGTGAGAGGCAGAAAGA